AGCGACCCATATCAAGCGGTCATATTTCTTATCCTTGTCGTACTGTAATTTTAATGAGGTCCATCTCGTCCAAACGAGCTTTTTCCAGCCGTGAACTCGTCCAAGTTTGAAATTGGCATCCAATAATGTTCCACTCTCGGATTTTAAGCATATTTTTAGATGCTGAGCAGCAGTCCGTAGGCCTTGCGGTATCCATACCCTGTTTCCGAAAACCAGAAGCTCGTCGAGTGCAGACCACACACCACAAGTGACGACGGCCTCCACAAAATGTAAATGTTTTCTGCCAATGAAATGATTAGCCTGTTGCAGTTGTATTCTATCAGTTGTCACTAATTACAACTATCATTTACCAAAATCAGCTATCACTATGAACCACTAGTAACCAGATTTACTTGGAGGCCGTCGTCACTTGTGGTGTTGGTCTGCACTCGACGCCGCTTGGTTCTTGAAAGTGGGTATGTTCTGTAAAGTTAAGATTGCGATAATTCCCTCTAACTATATGAACATTCACTCAGGCCATCCCACAAGGTGTTGGATTGGGAAGGAACTGATCGCTAATAAAATCAGAAACTAAATCATCTCAAACACATGTTAAACCAAGCCAAGCCTGAACAACGACAAAATAACTACGATGGAATAAATATGTCACCTTACCCGGTAAGTCATCGTACCAACTACTAGCCAGTGGAGTGATTGACGCTGTTGTCGTTCACTTCTGACCTTTCGAACAAAAAAAACCCTTTAAACTTCGTCCTGACCGAAGTTACTCAAATTTAAAAGATGGCATGAAAAGGCATCTGGCGGAATATGGCTCCTGCAAATGACCCTTTGACCTGAGATCCTTAAAGCTGGGACGTCTGCTGGTGCTCAGACGGCACCAATATGAAATACAGCAAAAAATATTCGGCAACAGGAACAAGAACTCTGCCACAAATAGAGAAAGCGCTTTCTAAACCCACAAACCAGCCGAAATGAAGTAAAACATTGCAAGAGATCACTTAGCATTGAAGGAGCTGCAGCTGTTCCCTTCTGATTCTGCTCTCCTCCTCAACCATTCAATTTCGAGATTGAGTTTTTCGATTTCGAGTTTTCGGACTTCAACAGCCATCAAGGCTTCTTCTTGACGTATCCTCATCAGATTTGCTTCTTCTTCTAACAGTTGTGAAAGACTGCCCGAGAAGCAAGTGAGCACCTCTCTGGCTAACCTAGATAGATCATTGGGATAATATAATAACTTCGTATAGCATACATTATACGAAGTTATACGAATGAATATAGTTGAGTTTAAAACTTGGTTGGCTTCCTGCCTGAAGCTGGCCTGCCAATTCGAAGTCAAGATCTCGGTTGGTGTGTCGATGCGTCCCACTTTCTGTTGGTTCCCAATTTCCAAAGTGTTGCGTTGAACTCTCATCAAGAGTGAGTTTTCTAAAAGCAGCTCTGATCTGCAACCACCTTTACCTCTAAATTCTTCCTGTCATTATTGTTGAATACCTACCCGTCATCTTCAAAAAGTTGACCATTTGAGTACTCCTCATCTGAAGAATTCATTTCCTCCTTGATGGTGTCCCGCATCCCGTCGATCGTTTCTTCTGAAAGAAATAATAACGGGATAATAAATCAGCTCCCCAAAGCATGGAGAGGACTTACCTTTCTCCGCTGTACCAATCGGACTAATGATTCCCAGTCATAAATTCGACTAGCGTCTAAATGGATGGCAGCCGATACCGGTCGCATCGTCCTGCTCCATTCTTAAAAGTCTTGATCAGGATTGTTTCATCTCTACCTCACTACCAGTTTGCCTCCACATACATACGATACCGAACAGGGTAAATGAAATTTCCACTCTGAGATGTCGGTCAGACTCTGCGATTGCATCGCGCGATGCCAGTGGCTCTTGCAATGTGCACAAGCGACGGGCGATTGGCATCGCTCCAAAGTGCGAGCGACGGGAAGATTTACCCGAGCGGCGCCGTGTGTATCGGTCGTCGGCGGGGTAAATCTCCCTGTCGCTCGCACTTTGGAGCGATGCCAATCGCCCGTCGCTTGTGCACATTGCAAGAGCGACTGCATCGCGCGATGCAATCGCAGAGTCTGACCGACATCTGAATCCGCTGTACCGCTTCTTGTACAGAGAAAGGGAAATAAAAAGTCACTCTCTCCTCCACATTAAAACGGACTAATTACTAACTGCTTCAGATTGCCTCATAAAGTATTAGAGATCCATTTTGTTCCTATGGAAAACTTTTCAACATTGCCTCTACAAACCGACGTGGCGATAGCAAATATTTCCGTACGAAAGACAATACGACAATCACAGCGCGAATCTCCATCAACCTGGCCTGCCTGAAGGATCGCGGGCGCATATCGCAAAGCATATCGTGACAAATGCTGTTCTGGGGGTCTTGCTATCAGAAACTGTCAACTGCTGAATTAACGGACAATTAAGTAACAGCTTTGACTACCTCAATACGTCTAGACTCCTTGAACTCGACGATGATGTAGATGATGTTATATTCTGAAGACGGGAAAGCATTGAAGGAGGCTCTGCTTCTGCTTATGGAAGAACTCCAAAATTCTTTGCCTCTGGTGATGTGCGCCATAGCTGAAGTGATTTTTGCCTCCGCTCCCGTAAATCTCCGCTCACTATGTACGCCCTTCTCCTAGTTAATTTCTAGCGCTCTTCCGTTCCCCGGCAGGCCTCGAAACCTATCACAAAATTGACTCCCCGCTCCACCTTCTATATCTTCAATCAACCCACACATGCTCTTCAGCCTGGTGAAAGCAGGAAATATAACAATATATTGGTATGTACATTAATTGATCAATTGACACATTTGTTTCCTCAGCCTTCATATCGTATTGAATCTTTCACTTCGTACGCAATTCTCTTTCAATTGCGCTTTCGCCTCCGCGCTATCCCCATGCTGGTCAGATGTTGAGACCATTTCTCCAGCAAACGACTTTTGTCCGACAACGCCCACTTCACTCCTTAACAAAGCCTGTATGTATGTGGAGTTGAGCAACGCGTAATCACAATGATTTCAACTAGAAAGAAGTGGAAAAAATGCCAAGAAGTCAATATTAATATGGCTAAAAGAGTGCCCTGAAGGTAGACGGTTGAAAATGCGTTCTTGATGAAGACTCATTGAAAAACACTGTTGCTAAACCTACCAAAAAACTTACATCTTGTTATGCCATCCAAAAAATTCTTTCGCTCTACGAAACTGTATTTAGCATTACATTCGAAACTATAATTCGCCAGCCTACATTCTCACGAACTCACTTTTAACTTGTAGCAAACAAAAGCTGCACCGTGGTTCTCACACTCAATATTTTCTATTAAAGAAACCAGTCACTGATCATATCCCGTGCTTATTCTCATCAGAAGACTAGTGATATTACTCTAGTCCAAGAACCCTTTTTGGAGGGTGGTCGCAATTGACAGAAACGGCTTTCTCGCTTTCCTCGCAGCGCGAAACCTTTTCACAGGAAGAACCACAGGTCCACTCCCAATCATGACGGACCTGGAATCCTTTTGGCAAAAAAGTTTCGTGCTGCAAAAACGCAAAAAAGTGACTTTAATCCCTAGAAACCCCGGAACAACGCCCCCACGCCTTTGTTTAAACCCCCCATCACCGAATAGATTTGACTTCCGCAGAACCACTGAAACACATCGCACGGCAGTGTGGCGCGTTCGCAAGCCCCACCTCAATCAACCTTCTTTTCGCGCTGCGCGACCCTCGCAGAATAGTTCGCACGACTAAATGACCAACCACAACAATGAAACTACGCGGTTCGCCGTATGGTCATATGCTAAGTTAAATAATTATTCTAAACAGTACAAATGGACCAGCTCACTTCATTGCTTTTTCTTTCTCTTCATGTAAGTGAAAAATAAATTCAATACAACATTCTAGACAAATCGCAAAAAATATTTAAACAACTTCATTTCCGGAGCAGGCAGCCAGAACAGTGTAAGATATTCATAGAAGCAGCCTTCAACTCGGCAGGCTAAGACGCTACACAAATAGGTAGAACGTCTCTCCGCCTGAAGGAACAACTCTTATTCAACCCCAACGCCCCCTCACCTCACACAACCTAATAGCCAAATGTGCTAAGAACTATAGCGCTTCTCCAACACTCAATCCACAACTTCGTCACGAACGACAGAACGGGCCTAAAGCCCAACACTAAAACGCCCCACCTTTTACAATAAAAAAAGAAGGCGAGAAGAAAAGGGTGCATAATTGACAACGAAAGGGGTGTGACAAAATATTAGGTCCACACTGTCCATAATCTTGAGCAGCCTTTGCTAGTTTCTGACCTTGATTACTATCTTATTCTCTGTTCCACACACCCACACGCTCACACTCACACACACCACATATCCAATGCGATTGGTATTCAGTGCTCATACTCTATCTCACAATCCGACGCACACAACACATATGATGTCGATTTGACTAATGGTGATTCAAGGGATTTTCTCGCAGAAAGATTGAGAAGCACACCACACCACCACCTCGGCTACCACGCAGATTAGTGCTAGGCGGAGCTAAAAGAACTGACCGCCCGAGAGTCTCCAATTTTTTAGGAATTTTCTTAGCAAAGCGGGCTCGAACGACCTCAGAAAAAAAATAGATTTTGTCTTCCTTTGCTTTCAAGTTGAAGGCGTTGCCATCAAGCTGTCAACGATTCTTCCCATCACTGACACTGGTATTAGTTGATGCCGGTCTTCAGCGCAAAGGCCCTCCCGTATTGCGCCAACGACTCAGGAAGTTCGAATTCAGAGGGAGTTGGGTTTTTACTGTCAGAACTCCCGAATCGTTTGAGCAAATCTACTGCGGCTCGTGGATTTGTTAGCACATTGCACCCAGTCCACATCACCAATGAGTATTATAGATGGTCATCCGAAGGAACTATAGGAAACCTACAGGAACTTGATGATGTCGGATTGGGTTGAGAACTGATTCGGGACTACAATTTTCCTTCGATCAGAACTCTATGAAAGTCCACAAGAGAGGCACTGAATACCCACCCTCGCATTGGCGATATGTTGCTAATATAACCTACTCCTATAAATCGCTAAGCGTGTGTGTCCTAAAACATATATAAGGCGGCTAAGGGTGTGTGCTGTTGTGTGTTGGTGTGTGTTGTGTGTGTGTCCCCTTACCGCCAATTCCATAACTTCACCCCCCTTTGGACCTAAGCCCTTAAAACTTCTAGATAATAATGCCGGCTTAAACACTGATACGGGTGCGGAAGGATAACATCCATAGAACTGATAACGGATGCCGAAATACTGATATCCCCTCAATTCGTTAGTCCCGTTGCGCTGACGTGGACGATTGCAACTGATGTATGATATTGGGGTGACGGACCAAGAACAGTGCGTAACGAAGTGAGCAACTGATAAACGAACTGATAATGGCGCAGTGAGGACAATTACCAGTTTTCGTGCGGCCCTTCGCGATACATGGAACCTTGGCTGTCACATGTGGTATAGGGGATGGGACGGGAAAACACGGTATAGTGTGATCAAAAGCGATAACAAGCGATAACGGTTGATAAGGAAGTTTGGATTTTGAGTACCGCTAATTTCGTTGTAGCCTTCGTGGTGACAGTAAATATTAGCTCCTACACGTTGCCTGGAGGATGGGACGGGACACCGATTGCGAGCAGTATGAAGTGATAAGAATGACAAGGAATGATAAGAGCGTCTGAGTACAGTTCTCTCCAACTTCGCTGTAATTATCACTGGCAAGCGATCAAGGTAGCGAGGGATGAATGTAGGTGACAGAAAGAGGTATGAAAGGCAACTGCACTGATAAAAATAGCGACAATTGAGTGTGCACTCAGTTGAACTAAACCAGATTCCTAGCACGGGAATATGTTCCATTTCTACCCTTTCATCTAAAAGAAGCAAAGGAAAGTTGAGCTGCTCCACTATCTGGACTTGGACTAATAGCGAATAAAATCATATTTCCAATTTCCATCATAGCTCGGTTGCTGATTGATTGGTTATATTTCACTTACACACCGATTCTTCAATTGTGGGAATTCTATAAACCGCTAAATCGCCCGAGCTCGATGCTTGATAGCTAAATTCTAAATGTTTACGAAGTCATGATATTAGGTGGGGGCCTATTTCTCATTCCGCGTGCTACTGCGCGCATTACGCGACAATCTCCAACGAAATTGGGCAACTTTAAACATCATGTAACACTTCTTCCAAAACAGGGAGTCCAGGTCACTTATTATTTAGGTATTAGGTCATTTGTCTGAGTAACTAACAGTTTCACTGTAGTATCTCAGACAAGTGATCTAATATTCTGCAAGCTGTCCAGTTTCACTAAACCCCACCATTTGATGCGCGCGGTTGCGTGCGGAGCTAAGCTGGTGATGATAAATTGCTGATAATAGCATCAGAAGAAATAAAGATACAGTAATGAAATCGAAAAACACCAAAGGTTCTCAAAAATTGTGGACGCAACCTAAATAAAACCACTAAACCATAAGAACTATTTATCATGAAACTTCATACCTGGTGGAAGCTTGGCGTGGTATCTTGAATAGTTAGCGCTATACATAGCAATCAGTCGACGCAGCTCTACCTCTTGAAATGGCGGTGCTTTCCTACGAAGCGGTTCTGGGTAAGGTTTAGCACCATCCTAGAATTGAAGAATTAAAGATGATTAGAGTTCATCCCAAATAAGAAAAAAAAGAAATAGCGTGAGGCTTTCACTGCAATTAGTCAGTTAGTCAAGGTCGGTAAGGACGCAAACCGCGTACCAACCAAAGTGGCTTGGTATCGACTGGTTACGCCACTTGTGTGCCACCACACACAATACACTATAGACGTTACCCTGGGTAACATTACCCAATTGGGTTATACATCACAAAGAATAGCTTACCGTCGTTCTATTTCTTACGAAAGATTCGCTTGTCGTTTCCTTACCTTACTCTGAGGTAAGGATTGAGACGTTTTCGCGAATCTTGGAACATTGGCAGGCGATGAATTACCTAAGGCTGCGGCCATTCTTTGTCACTGCCTAACACTCCGTTTGCAGTCCGAGTATGGACTAGACCCCACCAATCTTGTCGCAGGATGCCGCTTGTCTTGCTATGTCCACGTATCGATAACTATTTATACCCACACCGCATTCAAGATGTTCGCAAGTAGCCCGGCACCCCACCTCTCCTTCTGCCCTTCCCAACTGTCTCTTACTGGCAGAAATGCTTAGGTTCTGTCTACAATAGCATGTATCAAGATGCAGTACATCGCCCATGATCTCAAATGTTCTCCCATATTCTAAGAAATGCACACTTATACCTCAGGGTGATCTTACAACGGTTCGATATGTTCGACGCAGGGGCAAGCTCGGTATAGACTCTATGAATAGCGCTGAACCTAAGTTTAAGGGCAGGACCATGAGGGGGGCACGGGCGGTTTGTGACGTCATCGAACGTCGTTGGCGGACTACAACTCTTTTCAGCGCTCGGGTGTAAGGACCGGCCTTCAACGTACCTTGCCCCCCAATGACTCTGCAATCACGCAATGAAGTGCACCTCCGCTAGCGCATTCTTGTTTTTGCAAATTGCCTTTAAGCTTTGTAACTTCGCTTCAGATAGATTCATTCCATTTCTTCGCAATCAGCCGAGCAAATCAACATAGGAGGCATGAACGAGTATGGTACTAGACAAAGTAACATTTTCGCTTTTGCACGCGATAACATTTCATTGCAGAACCTCAGTCCAATCAGATCAGCGGTTGCAACCCTAAGTTCCCAGCGAAGTGTCGCGTGCGAGAAGCGAAAAAAGTCGCTTTCTTTCCTAGTGAACCACACCCTATTAATGATTCTACTTTAGATGTAATAATTGCTAATTATGTGTCCGAGATGTTCCTAAAATTCTCACTCTTGTCTAGGCTTCCATACAAACAGCTCATAGGTACATGAAAAGGCCATCGCGCTCAAGCCAACAGAACCAGCGCTGCGGTTGAAAGCCAATTGCACAATAACAGGAATGAAGCTCATTTATACAGAAACGAGATCGTCATACTCTAAGCCTAGCTAAGATGCACGACAAAAAGAAATCTTAGCAAATAACAACATAAACCTAGTGCAATCTAAAAAAAACCTAATGCGATCAAATCTTTTCTGCAATGAAAATTGCGCCTTTACAACCGGTTTGAATCACCCATTTCAGAACGTCGTACATCGGTGCCTTAAATAGATCCAGTAATTTTTGAAACCTGCCTCGGTACATAGAAATGATTGAAATCCAACATAAGACACGCAAACAGCCTCTCCAGAACTGCAACAGCTTTTCGAAATGGTCAAGCTGTCGTCGATCTATTCGCATGTGATTGACGGACCGCATGACGGACCACTTCATTCCATACCACAAAAAGAAAATCTGTTAGAAACCTACTGTACCTTGGGTCCGTCGTGTTTGATTCCAGTATCATGATGTTCTAGTTCATCATTACGCAGTTTCGTCAATGTATCGAGGAGATCTTTGTGAGCTTCCGGGTCGTCGGCAATTAATTCTGCAATGGAAATTATTTGCAATATGTCCCCCGATCTTCGCGATAATAAAGTACCCTTCAATTGGTCATTGTAATGCTGCCCGATTACTTCTTCTACAGCAACCGTACATGCCATGGCTCCCTTCCTTGCCAAGTAAGGCGGTGCCAGCACCTGTATTGTAAAAGTAAACAATTCATTCGAGTGAGTAGTGTAACTCAGCTGTGGTAGAATAGATGCCTGAGGCACCGGAAGTTCTAATAGTTACCGTACCTAAAGCATAAGCGGCGAGGCTGAAAATTGGCGTGAAAACTGTGAGCGGGACTTCATGTTTCGCAGCAAGCCTCTCCATGATGTCTAGGTGTTCCTTTTCTTGATCCCACATTTTCTTCACCACAGTAGCAACAGGAGAACCTGAAGATAAGAATTTTGATCAATATCCAAACTCACAGATCCTCATTTTGATGTGAGGTTTGTTGAACCTATTGAGCCTTGCAGCAAAACATTGCTTGCATGAACAAATACCGATACTAGTAGCCACCAATGCCTCTACATTGCGTAGCTGACGACCACTTACTCTTTGGTCAATTCAGCCGAAATTTTCTTAAGCGTTTCAGAGCGCGTAATTACCTGCCATTGGTGTGCTAGTCAGCGCGCAGAGTGAGATAGCGACGAGAAAGATATGTCAACTCTATAGACACAATCCTGAAAGACCTACCTTTAAGAACAGCCATTTGCCCAGCATAAATGCGATCGGCTCCAAGTTCGCCAGCGTGATCCACTCTTATGATCTTCTCCAAGAGAGCTCTTCGAGCAGCCGCTGTGTGAGCGGCACGAAAGAACACGCGATTCATCTAGTAAGCTATTCATCAAATACGTCAAAAACTTCTCTCAAGACAGAACCGAATCGAGTATTCACAAAGCAGAGGAGGCCCTGTACCCAGACAATATTATTCATCCCTTTCCTTGACAATTTCATAGCACAAGAAACTCCAAGATTTCACTCCTAGCGCTTATCTTCATTATTAAATCCCCATTCTGGGATGAGTTCAGGAGGACCAAACTTCAGTAGGTAGTATAGAGCTGTCCACTTGAAACACATAGGGCCTTCGAAGACCGTCCGCTTCCACTATTCCCCATTCGCGTGTCTGGCCCCTCTCATCCAGTGGGCTCTCTCGCCTACGTTCTCTCCCCGTGCTCAGTGTCTCATTGCATCAGTACAGCCGTAGCAGAAAGTAAGAGGGAGTCTTCGATTTTAGGGTTTGCAACAGATTTTCTTTTTCTTCACTAATGGTCCACTAGCTGGTTCGTGCAGGATGTCTTCAGGAAGGAACTGGACACACGTTCAAGAGGGTGATACTGCTGTGAAGCACATTAGATCACCGTCAGAGTTTGAGACACAGCGCTTTTCAAATATATGGCTTTTCACAAGGAAAGTCGCCTGAAAATCGTATGCCCCTTGAGAGTAATTGGTACCAAGCCGAAGCTATAGCCAAACCGACGAACGGTAGATATTCGTAATAACTTCGTATAGCATACATGAAAAGAAAAAAAAATAGTGTTCAGTTCTTGTGCGTACTTAAGTAAAGCAATGAAAAGTCTACTCATGCCCATTACTACTTACAACTATATAAACACTGCGAACGGTTCAACTATAGGCTACACTCCATCAACACAAATTTATCGAGAAGAGAATGCGTATCGGATAGATGAGTTCTGTAACTCAAAAAAGATGGAACTCAAAAGCATAACTGATTCTTTGTTCTCGATTTTATCAAGGTCCAAATCAATCAATTAAATTAAAACAGAATAACAGACCACCCTTTGGAAACGAAAACATCACAGTAGATAACGAATAGCACAGAAGGAAGACAAAACTCAGCAAACAATCCTATAGAAGGTAGAAAAATAAATTAAACATATCATTCGTCGCAAATGTGAAAGTAACGCTTTTGCTTTGCAACAAAGTTCCAACCCTTTTTACAAACAATCAAACATAATTTCTCATACAGAACTTTGAACTAGACTGTCAATGAGCTAACATTGTTAAGCGACTATCAATGGTAGGTTACGCCATCGTGGCTGTGACCATGGGAAGGGCTAAAAACTGGAGGGCTACTGTATCCCTGCTGTGCGCTTGTTGGATTTCCATAACCAGCTACACCGTAAGCTGCATTATACTGGTCCATTTGAGGATTAGATCCATGCGAACTCGGCCATATGACTATGGCCGTCATCAGAATGTTCGTGTCTCTTCCAAATGACCGGATTAAAACCCTCCGTGTCCTTCAATGACGGATTAAAAACTTACGGTTTCACAAAAAGATGGCATTGATAAAGAACCAAAACTACTACCGTGATCATGTGAATGACCGTGATTTCCGCTAGCATGGTCATGTGAATGGCCGTGATTTCCACCTTCGTGGTCATGGGAATGATCGTGACTGTGGCTATCTCCATGAACATGTGGGTCACCATACGTATGCCCGTGACCCTGAATATGAAAAATATGACCTAGCATTCGAAAGAAATAATTCGTTCGTTGGCTGACTGGAACTAAAAACGAAAAGACTAACCGGATTCGTTCCCTCAACCGTGTGCCATGCAGCGTCTTTAACAATCTAAAAGGGAAACACGCTTGAAATGCAGAACTGCTAGACGAGTGAATCCAATAGAAGCATTCAAAATAACTTGCTGACCTGAACTGTGAGCATGCTTACAACAGATGACATCTTATCAGTGACAAGAGTTAGTACGTTTTGTTCGTCTGCGTCCCTTCGAACTCGCACGTCCACAGTTCCAACCTGCAAAGAGTTGCGTGTTATCGAATTTTATATCATTTGAATGGGAACAAAAATGAAAAGTGGTTAATGAAGGACTAACCAGCTGCCCGAAATCCAGTTGCCAAAAGTGACGTGAGCGTATTTCCAGAACACCGTCGATAGTTGACGCTTCAGAAATACATCTAAAAGCATGCTTCATTGAAACTGAAGGTAGACCAAAAGAAAACCCTGGGCATGGAACGTCTATAAACGCAGTATCAACTCGCTACTGTGAAGTTACGTGTTTTATATAACTAGAGGAAAACAGCGGCAGCACGTCACAAAGCGTGCCGGGACTTGAGAAGCAACATTGAGAAAATAAAAAGGAAAAGGGGGTCGAAAAGTCAGCAACACCCATCATGGCTCACGCGCTGGCTCAAATGCTTGTGAGTCTAGCTTTTTCACTTTTGCAGAGCTTAAACTATCAGACAAGATGGCTGATAATCGGATAATATATTCTGGCGCATCAGCCGGAAAAGGACTCGGGCCACCCAAGTGGCACGTGAACATTTTACCATTGAACCACCGGCGTTTCGTCCGCTGACTCCGGTGCTTGTAAGCCATTGTGACCCGCTCACAGTAAACAGTCAGTCTTCAGTTTCAAAGTTAACCAACTGTCTGATTTACGAAAATACTCTTGCAAAAATACATCAAAGAGAAGATAAAACATGAAAGATTTTGAAGCATACCTGTCAATTTGATTGAGAAGATGAGGAGGTGCTGTCTGCAATAGAAATCATGCCGGTATACGTGGATAAAGGCCACATTGTCGAAAATACCGCCACCGACAATAAAAGACAGCAGACAGGGTCTGCCCAAGGGAAATCATGTCTGTAAAATCATGTTTTCTTGATGTGATCATGATCGACTAATGAGTCGCATCACTTTACCTGAAGTGCTCACAAAGAACTAGCATCGCACTTGTTACTGCGGCCAACAATACCATCGAATTAATTCGTGGTAATAGAAGGTCGTATAAC